TTTCACTAGAATATATGGAAATTATAGGTTTACTTTTCACAATAAATAATTTGGATAATACAATCATAAATAATGTTTGTCTATTGTTCATCACTTCATTTTGTGGCGAAAGCAAACCCTTGAAACTTCCATTCATTGCTATTCGAATTAACAGATCAAAACCATTTTCGACTCATCTAAGAATTCGTAAAGACAATACTGAAAAATTATTTAAAGTTTCGATATCACAAATGACATAAGAAAATGGACAATTAAATAAAATAAAATAATGTCAACTTGAGCTTAATTCAATTGGCTAACACATTCGATCAAAAAATTGTGAGTTCGAATTCTCACCCCCACATGTTGTATTAAAAAAAATCAAAATTAAATGATACATGTAACGTATCAAAATCATTTCGTAGACTGTCCCACCCTAGGTTTAGGGTTTAGGTGCACATTTCCTCCAACCATCCCTAAGTTATACCATGCTAAATCAACCAATATATGTTGTTATCATCTCGTAAACAATGTTAATGCTTAACGATAATGACTAAATAGAATTACAATTAAAAGTCCACGGGCTTAATGATTTTTCTTTTAAAATGTAAAGACTAAATAAATACAGTCATCTACATTCATAACACTAACTTTTTAATTAAAATTAAGACAAAATACACTTTTGATTCTTGAAATTTTGTAAAATGGTTCTAAATGATCCCTAACATTTTTGGACTATTAGTTGACTAGTAAGATGATGTGGCAGTTAAGTTAATAGACGGTTGATTTGACAAAATATATTAATTTAATATTATTTTTACGATAAAATGGATATAGGAGTAACCTTGTCCAAAGGAGAGAGGAGGAAGAAGAAAGAAGATGGAAAGTTCAATCATCATCAAATCAACAAGTCACATCATCTTAACGTTATTCAACAAGGTTAAAGCATGTTAGGCTCATTTAGAACCAATTTACAAACTTTAAGATAAAATAGACACATACTCCTAAATTTCATGAACCAAGAATGCATTTTGTCCCTTACTTTTTTCTTTTTTTTTTTAAAGAAAAGATATAATTTTTAAAGAATAGTAATTGCCTACATTAACAGCCCTAATTAACTTTTTGATGTGGCATATTTTTATTGACTAAAAAATTTTAGTAGAATCTACTTATCTATTAAACGTTAGAAATAGACTAATAAAAATACGCCACTCAAAACGTCAGTAGGAGCTCCTATCGATTGATGTATGTGTAAGCAAGTATTTTCCGCTTTTAAATGAGAGAGGCAGCATGGTAAGGACCATTCAATTCATTGAAACGATCCAGAAACAGAGGTACATTTACACTGCAAGGCTAGTGGTTTGTCATCTAACAGAGATTTTGCCAACATCTACTCGGCAAGCATCTCCCAACAAATTATGTGGAATAGAAAAGATAAATTTCCTTCTTCCCAGAAAAGATATTTAGAACAAACAAATTTTCTCACCTATCCTTTGAGGCATGGGGTTTCACTGTCGGACTTTTTCAAATCCCACCCTTTCAATGGCGACTGTAGAAACAATGAAGATGAAGACAGCTGCTTCTGCCGCATTGAGATAGACGACAAGCAACTGAAGCTATTCGTTAGCTTCGTCTTCTCGGTCTCTAACGGCACGAATGCGGGGTCGTGTTTTACGGCAGATATTCTTAGGGAATCGGGAAGTATGCAATTGCAGACGGAGCCTGAAATGTTGATCCATCCTTCAAGTCAATCTTTTGGTGAACATGAAAAGCACATATGTCATAACACCACAATGGTTCAAAAGCAAGTGGCACTACTTTATAAGGTTAATATGTTAGCCAGCCAACCAAACCAATCAGAGACTTGAGACTTTTTGACAATGGATGTATGTTGCAACAGTATATGATGTTAGATGTTAGGTTCTTATACCTTATGACTAAATCAATAGAATGAGCATTCACATGATTGGATTCAGCTAGAAAAATCGCTTTTCAGAGGGAATGAGGTAGAAAAGGTACCTATTTTAGCCAGCCGGTTCACCCATTTTGGAATTGATTTCCCAGTCAGCTGATGGCAGACATCCTTGCAGAAATGATTGCAGTTCTTCACAATCAGGTGATACGTATCGCCGTAGTAGCTCGAAGAGCGGTGCTCCATGAACTCCCTGACTTGACGAGGATCAAGGCAGGTTGAGCCAATCAATATTGACCTCCTAAACTTGAAGCCTGGGCATTGTCGAGGTTCGACCTCAAAAACGCCACTGGTCGGGTAGTCATGAGCTCCAAATGCATATTCTACACCATGGACTGCACAATGCATTCATTTTTCTCTCAGAAAACAATTTGAATCACAAGGTGAATTACTAACTTTCTATTTTCAGATTCACAACTGGTTTTGGAGTTGCAGAAGATAATAAGTTTGTGACATTACCTTCTACACCAGAGTGAAAGATACCAAGCCCTGCCCAATAGACATAGCCATTCATAGGGGTTAAATCATACACGTTTAGATAAACTGGTGTTTTGCCTGGACCACAGTTAACTGACTTAGATTTGGAAAATAGACAAAAAGAGGGAGATGATGATTTTCCTTTACGTAGAGGGACAATGGATTTCCATCCTTTCTTGGATCCAAGCTTTATTTTCATTTTGTCGACAAACGAGAAAAAACCAGAATTCAGTTGATGCCCGTCCGCAACCTGTTAAATGAAAAGAATCAGAATAAATAACCAATATAGGGATGTCCATAAACAATGATAGATGCATGATGATATCATCGGAAGGTTGATGATGACCTTTTGCCTATTATTTGAGAATCTCTTGCACTACAACCAAAACTGAGAATATCATCTAATCAATCAACACCACAGCATTTGATTGTCTAAAGAACTTACAGGATATTTATCATCTAGCACAAAATAGGTTCCAATTTTAAAGAGTTTATGAACCCTGATCCTTAGGTCTAAAAAAGATGATTTGTAAGAACAATCCTTAGCTCTAGCAATCAAGCTTTTACCTGTGTCATTCAAGTGATAAGAACTCCCCAATCCAATTTACTGCTATCTCATACTAGAATCTTGTAGCATAAATTGTGTCAATCAACTCATAAGTTATATATCATTCCAACAGATACATATGGTTCACTTATAAACATGGGGGGGGGGGGGGGGTTTGAATTAATGTTTTAGTAAGTAAATGTAAGTTTCAACCTAATGATGTTTTTTTTTATATGAAACAAAAGATGTATTGATGAAAAAGAAAAAACAACCTCAAGGGCAGGGGTAAAGAGAACCCCTACCAAAAGAACTAGTAAAGGGTATAGCCTTCCCATCTTGGGCAATCATGGCTAAACTACAGTTGCAAAAAAAAAAAGAAAAATTTGTGATTGAGACACCACAAGGAGGCATTAAGTTGTACACTATTCCAAAAAAAATTGATGTGAGGAGGGTTTGTTGTGAAAAACCCTTCGATTTCTTTCCTTCCAAATGCACCATAAGAGAGCTCTAGCAGAACATTAGGATTCTTAAGTGTATTGTTAGTGCTCAAGTTCATGCCAAATCATTAGGATTGATAGTTTTGGAATTTTGGGTTTCGAGAGTGTTTGTTTTCTATGTGAATGGTTACTCACTATATCGTTATTCTTAAGTTGTACACTATTCCAACAAAATTTTGGCTTCCTCCTCTAAAAGCCCACCTCTTAACACTTCCATTAGCCATACATCAATCCTCTCGGGAAGACAAAGAGAGAGGCCAATATCGTACATCCAACTAATGAAAGCAAAAGGAGAATGAAGGAAGATGTGCTCCAAGAGTTAAGACTTTCCTCATACCTCAAACAAAGGCAGCCAGTTTCAACCTAATGATTATTCTCTATCTCTTATTCAACCATTATGCCATGGATGAATTAGGACGTTCATTAACTTATAAGTTCATCAAATCTGAAGAATATTAGGTCTATCAGAATTTTGAATGCACAAAAGAAAAAAGAAGAGCAACAGAAGGCAACAAAACTTAAACAAGTTAGCAGAATCCGAGTGGAACTGTCTTTAGGGGCAAATCATAGGAAAGTTAAAGAATTCCTTTTTGTAGCAAATTGGAAGAGAATTAAGACTATTGTTTGGGAGCTGAGTTTAAAAACATTTTTTTATTGCTTAGAATAAAAAGTTAGTGATGACGTGCTTGGATAATTATTTTTAAAAAAGATCTCGTCCTTTTCCTTAATTTGTTTCCATGTTGGCCTGTTTTTTTTTAAAAAAAAAAAAAACTGGACTTGTTGTTCAGTTTAAAAATCACATACTTGCAAATAATGATTTCAATCACTTAACCTCCATCTTTACAAGAAATTTTATCACAATTTTTTAAAGAAAAATTATAAAAAATAAAACAAACAAAACATTTCCAGGTAGCCCAACCATTATCATGACTTCCTCGTTCATTTAATACTTTTAATTCTTTACTATATTAAGAAGAGATGATAGTTCCATTCTCCCACTATTCAAGAGGAGGCAGATAACTCGAATAAATAAGGGCTTTCACTTCAGTTATCCCAACATATCTAAATAGATCTAACAACCAGTTTCAAGACATTAACAGGAACAGCTTATATGCTTAATGTTTTAGTTCAAAACACAGGTCAGGCCAATCTATAGATCAAAAGATCCAACATTTTGATTAAACCCAGTTCGAGAAAATCCAAACTAGATATAAATTGAAATAGAAAACAGAGTTGCAGTGCATTTATATCTAGCCAGCTAAGTTCCCCAACCAACCATCAAGCACCAAACCATTAATTACCAACACTCCTCTACAAGCTAGGATTTTCATGCGGTTGACACTATCCAGGCAAAAACATCCTGCCTCCAAAATTAGAACTGTTTTCTCCCAAGTCATGAACTTTTCCAGACATATTCCCCATAGTCAAGTAGAAGAACTAGGTTGTTCAACTTAAAGGAGCAACATCAATGGAAGATTTCCAATGAGTAAGTGTGAATCAGGAAATCAACAATTAAAACAATCAATCATTACGCACTTGGTGCAGTACATTCTTCAACTTTGCCATCAAACCCTAACAGTTAGGGATTGAAAAGGAAAAAATATTTGGTAAAACTAAATTCAGATCTGAATGACAATAACCAAAGCAGAAAAGGAAACTCGGAAGTGGGCAGCATTAATAGCCAAATCCATCTTCCTGCCGCGTTAAAGAACAACAAAAAGGGGAAACCCTGCTTTTTGTTAGCACATTACTGACCCAAACATCAAAAATCCAGACAAGGAACCAGCGGACACGAATTCAAAGATTCAGTAGCAAAAAACCCAAAACCCAAAATCGAGAAAGCACGCTTCTGAAAGCCCCACAAGTTCTTAACCATTCGCCCTCAAAGTTATAAATCTCCATCAACCCAGAAAAGTCCAAACAATTCAATGACCACACAAATCAAGACAGCAAAAAGAGCTCACAAACATCACAAAAAACAACGAAAATGCAACCAAAAAAAGGAAAACTCACAGATTCAAGAAGATCCGATACGGGGCATCAGAAAGAGGCAACAGGGTCGAAGGGGGCGGGCATTAAAAGCGAAACCCAGAAAGGTTAAGAAGCGAAAAGGCAGAGGGAAAAACAGAAGAAAGAGAGGGACCGAACAAGGCTAATTAACCCCGTTTGGCCGCCTCTCGGCCTCTGTGAATCTCAGCTGTTGCTGGAAGAATTATGCTACTGGGATTGGAAGGGGAAAATAGGAATTATGAAGCAAAACCAGATTAATACGAGGGGAATGGGAGAGACACAGTTTGATTGAGAGATAAAGACAATACAGTGAAACTTGTCTCATTATTTTACCCTTTCCAATGGCTTCCCTCTTCCCACCACGTGCATTGCCTTCCCCAATCCCCTTTATAACCAATCATTCTCTTCTTATTCTTATTCAATTTCAGTTCTATTTTATTGCAGTAATCATATTTTATCATCAAAATTTTAAATTTTGTTTGCCAATCTGGATGAAAATTTTGTTTGCCAATCTGGATGATGGGTTGGTTGATATTGATAAGATATTTATTACCGACTCATGAATATTTCATCCGAAATATATGGTTATGAATACGAAGTTCAGGTAATACACCGTAGGTTGATAAAACATTTGTTACCAACTTATGAGTAATAGAAATCATATTTAACGGCTTACTTCAAAATATTTAAAATTAGTTTTATAACTGTGCATTTCATTTTAACAACTTGGGTATGATTGGGTGAAAAAATTATGAATTTTTTACTGAAAAATAGAAAAATAGCTAAGAAAAATGTTGTTTCAGGGCACATTGAATTTTAGTGACTTGTTATCTAATGCAACCATAAATAACTTGATACATATTATTCAATTAGTAAATATGACAAGGAGGATAATAATAAATATTGACATATTAGATTGAAACTAATATCAAAATAGAGGGATTACAAAGCAATTTAGCTAAACAATATTTTAAAATTCAAGTGTCTTTAAAGTCCAGCATTAATAATGCTATGGATTTAACAATGAGTGAATCCTAGTCAATGAATTTTGAAATAATGTTTCAATAATTATTCTCAATAATTATTCAAAGGCAACTAATAGAATATTAATAAATAAACTTTTAATATTGAGAACTATTTTGTAAATGGGTGATAAATTAATATTTTCATACTATAAAATCATTTTTTTACAAACCTATCTTTAACTGGTCCAACTAGGTTGAAATAAATTTTTTATATAATAACTAAATGATAAAACAGTAGGATTTGACTTGATAAAACATTAGTGATATGTGATGTGATCACTCTTGAATATATGGGTCTCACATTTTTTTTGGGATTTATCTCCTTTTATATTTATTTCTAAGAAATTATTTCGCACAACACCGAAAATGAGATTTCTATTTTTACACCAATGTTAAGTGAGTTATTTTTATTTTTTTGAGAAGTTTTAATTTGTACTTTATAAATTAATTTTTTGTTGATATGAATTTCTTACCGTCTAGAATTTTATTTGATAATCATTTTATTTTTTGTGATATTTTAAAAATTTAAGCTTATAAATAATTTCACATGTGTATTTATTTGTGTTGATATTTTTTAAAAACATTTTCCCGATACAAGTCATCTTTTGAATATATATATATACACACACACACACAGTCTTTTAATTTTAATTTTTTATTTTTAAAATTTTGCTAAAAAACTACAAGGAAACAATCGTAATTAAAACTACATAGTTATATGTTGCATAATTTAACTCTTTTAAAACGTAGGCTACATTATACAATTTTTTTAACTGATAAATTATATATATATATATAAAAAACCTTGACTTACATACTTGGTTTTAATTTTAATACATTATTTAACATTTTAAATGTTTAAAGTTTAATTTTTCTTTTTTTTTAAAAAAAAAAGGTAAAATTGTACGTCAAGGGTTACTTTGTAAAATTTAGTTGGCCTTAAAGTTTACTCAAACCTCTATCAATCGTTTTGAAAGTAAAATTGAATCTATTAAAACACTGATGGAAAATTTGAGATCAACTACAAATATTTGTTACGTTTTTTCTTTTTCTTATTTTTTTTTTCATAGACAGAACAAATATCTGTTAGTTGGTTGAAGGTCATTTTGGTATAATTTAACTTCAAAAATAAAAATGATTACAAAGTAAGCAAAATAATGACTTATTCTTAATTAAAAAAATTTAATTATAATCCATCATACCAGGAATTACACTTTTTTGTACGCAACAATACATCTTAAATCAGTAAAAAAAAATATATATTCAAACAATTTTTTTTGTCGGTGAACTTTTTCCAACAAAATAACACGTGACAGTTTTTATTTTGTCTAATGATCACTAAACTTTCAATCTTACAGTGCAAACTTATAATTTAATCTAAAGAGAAAATTCACAAGAAAACAAAAAAAAGGCAAAGTTGAATTACTGTCATGAAATTAATTTATGATCTTCATCGACATCTCGTGGCTTTCCCTTCCATCTCCCTAACTAACTACACGTCGGATTTTTTCACACAGACGAAACGACATGTCATTAATTTTCAACTCTCTTTTTTTTTATCGAATAATTTCAATTTTCAACTCGCTGATCTTCACATGAAAAAGCAACCACAGCTTCCTTCAACTTTTTCTTTCACTTTCCCCTCCGCCGCGACGGAGCTCCGTCCATGGCTGCTGCCCGCTTCCTCCGACTGCGGAGGAACGGCGGATCGAACCGGAATCACGGGGGTGAGTTTTTGTTAATATTCAGGCCCGGTACTCGGTACTCTTTCTCTATTTCAACTTTTTTTTTTAATATTGCTAATATTTACAATTTGTTTTAAAATAATGCTAATTCGAAATTTATTCCAAAAACTAACATTTTCCAAATTCCCGTTTCTAAATTGAATAATAAAAATAAAAAATAAACAAACTGGTAGGTCGTCGTCTCTCATCAAGCTAAGAGACGATATATACCTTTTTTAACAATAATAATCATTTTCCTACTAATCTTGAAATTTTAAGTTTAAATCTCCATGCTTTCATTTTTTTAATTTTTTTTAGTAAATAGAATGTTATATTGTAATCGTTTTTCCTTTTAAATAAATTTTACTTATAAAAAACTTTCTTCTCTTCAAATAAAATAATTATTATTTAAAAAGCGTTAACCTAGTGCTAAAGTGGGCTTAGTTAACTTAGTAGCAGAGGAATTTCTAAAATGTTATTTTTAGAATAAATTGAATTAGCATTATTTTTAAAAAATAAATTGTTATATTAGCAATATTAAAAAAATCCCTTCTGTTCCCTACATTTTTGTTTAATATTTTCTTATAATTTCTAAGAGAGAGAGAGAGAATTTCAACCTTTTTATTTATGTAATTCAATTATTTTTCTTTTGGTAGCTTAATATAATATAATCTTATTTTTATTTTTTTACTTCCAAAAAAAAATTTTAATCTTTTCTTTCAATTTTAAATAAAAACAATTTCACTCCTTATAGGCTTTTATAGATCTAGAGGTATGGTGGTCGTTGATTTACACATTAACACAATAGGAAAAGAGAGGAGTTCGCTAATAAAGACAGATAGGTCACAATTGCATTATGGTGCGGTCAGAGTAGATATTATATTTTTTAGAGTGTGCTTCTTAATAGCTACATAGCATTTGGTGTATTGAGATCTAGAAATATTTTGTGATGAACGATAAGGAATTTCACTAGGGGAAGATCATTACCGTCTTGTCTAAACAAATATTAAAAAATCACATTCAATATGTAGGTATTACTGTAAAATCACTATATACTTGCAACAATTACAAATTGTCGCCGTGAAATGCATACAAAACATAAACTTATAGAAATGTTATTAGAAAACCATACTACATATATAGAGTTTGTAACAATCATAGACTGCTGCATTAGTTGACCATAAAAAAAGATTCAGTAATAATCTAAATAGTTGTTTATACAAAGTTTAAATTTAAGTGCTATGATTTTAAAATGTAACTAATGTAAAATTTTATGGACTAAAATAAGATCTAATAATTGAACTGTTTGTTCGTTGATCTCTCCATCTATTCAAGCTGGAATATCATTTATGACTTGTTGATCAAATTTGGTAGATTTGTGTTCTAACATAAGAAATTTTTATCTTTGAGGGATAATATCATTTTTTTAAGAGTAGGGATAATATTCAATTACTTGGCATCAATACTACATTTATTAGAATTATATTTTTTGTATTTTTTTGTTACTCTATTGACTTTGTTGAGTTATTAATTTTTATTATTCTTATGTTGAATTAATTTTTATTATTCTTATTTATATATATATATATAATTTATAGGAGGAAAATTTAAATTTATAATTTTTTTAATTTGGATTATGTTATTTTTATATAATTTCAAGCCTTTTATTTATTTGAAAATATAAATTTATTTTATACTAATGTAAATATTTTCAAGAAAGACTGAGAAAATTTTAAAATGTGTATTTAATGAGATTATAATTTTCAGAAGACAAGACAAAAACCAATAAAAAGTAAAGATAAAAAAATTGGTAAATGATAACCAAGCCCCACTTAGAACTTGGAAGGCTGCCAGATGCCTTCCACGTCATCTGGTTGACATTGACCAATGCTAAGGCTCAGAAAACAAAAACGACGCCGTAAGCCTGCCGAACACCACGTGTTATTCTCTGACGTAGCTGAGCAAGCCCATAATGCAGCAAATATTGCCACGTGGAAATAGCGGACCCACCATAATAAGTGAACTTGACCCCACACGTCAAAGTGATGTTGGTGCCAGCTCAGCACATTAAATACCACGTGGGGAGCTGACCCCACTTATCGGACCAGTCTACCGCTCAATCTTTGTTCCACAGGGACTGTCTTTCTAAGTTGTTTTTAGTGAGTGAAAGTATATATAATTCTATAATAAATTCTAGGATTCAATTATATTAACTTTGTTTCATTTCTGCCCTGATTTTTAAAAGAAAAAAAAATTTAATCTCTTCATTATACCTTGAATTCATTAATTCTAGTGATTGATCTCTGATGTTAAATATAAAAGAGAATATGAGTATTGTTGCACAATTTTTGTTACATAATTGATTTGGTTAATCAAGTGCACGTCAATATATTCGAAGTAAATAACGTTAAAGTGTGTGCATTTGAATGATGAGTAAAAATAAGAGAAACTAAACGTTAATTTTGTTTTAATGGGTTAAGTAGGTTCATGTTCCCAGTATTGAATTTGATAAAGTTTTGATATATTGAAGAACTTACATATCTACCTCTTTTTATTAAGGTGAATCAATACAATTAAGAATAAGCAAATCATAATGTGATTTACTACTAGTTGTAAATCGTTTGGTAAGGTCGTCACACTAAACACACACCACATAGTCTCAAATCTTTTAATGGACGTGACTTTTTAATTAGGACAAGTTTTAGGGTGTGGTGTCACGTAATTGGCTACACCTTTAGTTACCATGACTAAGTGATGCCTAATGTGACATTATTCAGCCTCGTACACTCGATAAGATCTCTACTAAAAGTACCTAGATTCACTGAATAATGTAGCTTTCTGATTGATCTTTACTTCAAGTTGCTATAATAGGTATGCTTAGGGTAACATTTCAAGTCTTACACTTTGGCCAAGGACATCAATTAGCTGCCTAGACTTCGTGCTAGCTAGCATTTTCTTACTTGACTGATACGATAAGATTTTTAACTAGAAAGCTTATTCAAATCGTTTAACCTCGATATATATAGTGATCAAGTTGTTAGAAGTAGTGAAACAAATTAAATATCTAAACGAACCATGTTAAACTAGTAGAATCATTTCCAAGTAAATATATAATATGCTATTTTAAAAGTTTTACCCACAACAAAAATAATGGTCACAACCAATCCAAAAATAACACAATAAGGTAAACACACCTAGCTATTGCGATATTCGTATCGTCAATAGTTCAATTCGTATCTTTTCAAAAAATATATATATGGTTGGTTGAACTAAAAAAAAGAAAAACAAACATGTGCTACGTCTTTTTTTTTCTTTTTCTTTTTTTTTTAATTATTGAGTTAACTAAATTGATACACAAATTTATTATATTTGGACCACATACACCAAGAGATTTCGACCATTCCAAAGGGACCAACTTAACTTAACCTAAATTTGCCCCTTTTTTCTTAACTTCCACAGAAACTTGTGTTACTTGTTAGAGAGAGAGAGGAGAAAGCGAGAGATGTGAGACAATTGGGCTTGTGTGTGAACCCTTTCAGTCATAAATAAGGGCTGATTTTGACTCTTCAATTAAATTTGTATATATTACATTTATGAAGAAAATGATAACTTTAGTATCTTGAATTATTATTTATTCTAGCCTATGATTTATTGATTTCAAGAATTATTTAATGTCCCTGTAGACTTATTTTTATAAATCACAGATTGAGTTTATATACCAATATTTTTATGTCACAAATTTAACAAAACACATAGACTACATAAATATCTACATGCTTAATTCAAACATTTTGATCATTTGAAAGCAAAATAAATCCAAAATCAAATATTGTTATATCGTGCATATGATAAATATTTGTGGAAGTATGATTCTAATATTTGTGAGACACATATCCCGAGATCTAATTTTGTGTGTGAAAATTGATACAAGGAGTAACAAATTAAAATTTCCCCAAAATTCAATAAGAACAATGGAAGAGCATTTTACGAAACCAGAGAATCGAAATACAACATTATTTGAAAACATATGGAGCAAAATTAAGAATCATCCGTAACATTATTTAAACAAACTAACAAAGTTAAAAAAAAAATGTACAATTTCTCTTTTTGCAAATTGTACTACCCAAGTGGTAACCAGCTAGCTGCATGCGTTTTCTGTACACCAAAATAAACAACACTTCCTATATAATATATGACCAAATATATAATCCAGAGGCCACAGTCAAGTTCATCAACCGGACCCGCCGCCGCCGTAAGGTG